TTTTTTTTTTAATGAGGGCTTCATTACATGGGCATAATTGACAACCCTGTACAAATGTGACTGAATAAAAAGGGTATAGGAATTGTTCTCTGTTATCCACATCCACATCAGCATCTCTGGTTTGGGGGTTTTCTGATGTGGGCTAATCTTACTGGAGTTAGATGACATCTCAAAGTGTTTTTTTTTTTTAATTATTAAGTCAAATACACATAGATCATGAATACATTTATGTGTATGTAGGGTACAATGTGTTGATTTTTTTTTTATACAATCTGACGTGGTTACATCCAACCAATCAACATAGCATTTGCCTCATTTACTTGATTACTGTGTTAAGACATTTATGTTCTTCACTTGACAGATCTGATTTGTACCCTTACAACATGCTCCATAGGTATGGCCTTTGCCTTTTACCCTCCCTCTGTAAAACCTCTTCCCTCCCCTCCCTTCCCACTCCATTTCTCTCCTTCATCCTGGGCTATAGTTGTGTTCTATCTTTCATAACAAAGTGTGAGTAAATATAAGTAGATTTCATAGAAGTACTGAGTACGTTGGATACTTTTTCCTCCATTTTTGAGATACTGTACTCAGGAGAATATACTTCTGCACTGCTGGTGGGAATGCAAACTAATATGTTCCTTTTGGAAAGATGTTTGGAGATCACTTAGGGATCTAAAAATAGAACTGCCATTCAATCCTACAATTCCTCTACTAGGTAGAGGAAGACACAAAATCACTTTATAACAGATATTTGCACCAGAATGTTTATTGCAGCCAATTCATAATTGTTAAGTCATAGAAGAAGCACAAGTGCCCATCGACCCATGAATAGATTAATAAATTGTGGTATATGTACACAATGGAATATTATGCAGCCTTAAAAAAGATGGTGACTTTACCTCTTTCATGTTTACATGGATGGAGCTAGAACATATTCTTCTTAGCAAAGTATCTCAAGAATGGAAGAAAAGTATCCAATGTGTTCAGCCCTACCATGAAACCAATTTATAGCTTTCATAAGCTATAACCCAATTATAGCCCAAGAAGAAGAGGGAAGGTGAGAGGGAGGGAATGAGAGAGGGGAAGATGGGTGGAGGGAGGGTAATTGGTGGAACCAAACCTATGGTGCATTTTACAAGGGTACATATTAAATTTACTAAGTGTAGAACATAAATGTCGTAACACAATAACTAAGAAAATATGCTGAATGCTATGTTAACCAGTTTGATGACAATATTTCAAACTGTATATAAAACCAGCACATTGTACCCCATGATTGCATTAATGAATGTACATAGCTATGACTGAATAAAAAATAAATAAATAATTAAAAAAGAGTATTGGGTGATAGTAATAGATGGAGGAAACCCAGGAAGCCCTGTCCCTTCTGATTCTTTTGGCTTCTCTCTGCAGCATTCCTCACTACAGGGTTTGGGACAGGACTCTCTTTGGAATGAGGGTCTTATGAACCAACAATCAGATTAGGGTCCTGCGTTAGGCAGATGAAAGGAGGACAGGAGAAACTCAGAGAGAGAGATTCTATGTCCTGAGGCCTTGACATACCTCAACATTATTATTGGGTTAGTTATGAGCAAATTTCTCAATAGAGATAATGGACATTAAAAGACAATGAAAAATTCTTAAAGGACTAAGTGAAAATAAAAGATATTCCAATATAATGCATCCAGCAAAAATAAATAAATAAATAAATAACTCTAAAACCAGAGCAAACTTTGTATCAGACGCGCAAGAACATAGATTTTACCACCAATGTGAACTAAAACAGAACAGAAATGGGAATTATTTCCTTCAGAATGAAAAATATTAACTGAGTGGCAAATTTGATCTCATAGTGAACCAGGAATTAGTAAACATATGATCCATTAAAATATTAACTGTCAACAATACGAGAATATACTGTGTGTTTAAGGCTGAACCTTTTAAAAGATCCGTGAGCAGCTTCCACAGTAGTTCAGAAACTGGAGTGAGCAAAAATGACCCTGTCTTTTAAATTTTGGAGACCTGTGCATTGCTGATTGCTGTTTATGATTACAGAAGTGTAAACAGAGGTGACTGGATATTGTTGTTCTGTCTCTCCCATTGTTGTAAGCCCCACCCCCCCACCCCCTCTAGCTGAAGGTGTTAACAGAATTTCATCTTCAGTAGGTCTTCGGTCTCAGGGATTCGAAGAATGAATTCACTGACCACAGATCAGTGGTGGTAATACAGGATTTATTTTACAGAAAAGAATACGGAAAAAGCACTACAGCTTCTGGCAGAGGGAAAAACCTCTGGCCGATTCTGAAAAAACCTCCCCTCTGCCTGGGTCCTTTGTCTAGGGGTGAATATATAGCCTACCAAATGAATGCATACAGTACCTTCCTCCAGGGGCAAAATGTCAGTGACTTCATTTTGTGAAATTTCCCAGGCCTAGGAAACTTAAGTGAAATTGTTCAGGCCTAGGAAAGGGGTTCCTGTTTATCCCTGAATGGGGGAACCGTGTTATCACCTCCAGGCATGTGAAATGCTCACAGGGGAGTAGTGAGGTCAGAGGGGGGCTGTCTAGGTCCTAGGGTGGTTCTGGGGTTGGCACTGGCAGCAACACAGGCTCTATGGTGATCTCCCGCAACTAACTAGGGACCCAAGGGCTTCCTCTGCTCGGCCCTCTCTGCTGCACTTGGCTCTCCAGCTCTCATCTCCTGCATCCTGCTGGACCAACACCCACCCCTGGGGCCATGATGCAGAAGACACAGCAAGGCCTCCTGGCCCAGCTGGGGCACCGCCCACCCTGTATAAGGGATTTAAGGGTCTGGTGACTTTCTCTACTCACCTTTCATTTGTTCCCCTTCTGGAAACTACATATTAATGACAAATTAGAGGTCCTTCTGATACAGGACAGGTGGCACCAGAACCTGCCGCCTTAGCCCTGGTGGTGTTGGTGCAGTGACAGCCAGCAGAGGAACCAGCGAGCTAGAGGGTAGGCAAGGGGGCCCTAGGAGGTTCCAGTAACTAGAGGGGCTA